AGAGTGTTGTCTTGCTGTTTACTGACTGCCCCGTCTCCCAGTATGGTAGACGGGCATCTATTTCCATTAAAGGAAGGAATCTGGTGCTCAGAGAGGGTAAGCCACTTGCTCAAGGTCACCCAGCCTAGATTTTCATCCCGAACACTTGGGATTCATCAGTCAGAATCCAGAGACACTCATAGCTGCATCCTGCATACAGGCTGGGCCAGGAGCTGGAGCTAAGGGTGAGGGTGAGGCTGGACATAACTGACTAGGTGGTGGTCGGAATGCCAGTCTCAGTGTCTTTGTAGGTGCTACAGCCGGGCCTCACCTAAGACCAGGCATCCCTCTGCTAATCCCCACCTATGATTTAATATGGAGCCTGGGGGGCCTCCTAGAGGACCCAGAGCAATCTCAAGCACTCCCATGCATGGACCTGGGGTGCAGTCTGGTCACAGGAGTCACTGGAGTGATCTCCGGGAACAGCCCAGAAGTTATGCCTTTCTGTCCTGCTTGGAAACACTCACTGGAATCCTCAGGGACAGGTGATGCCCGGGGTGGCCAGGGAAGGCGGTCTGGGGAAGGCGGTCTGGCAGAGCTCCCTGCCACCCCTGCACCCCGCAGCTTCCTTCCCACCCTCCTGCCGCAGCAGCGCCTCGCCTGCTCATTAGAGCAGAGCTGAGCTTGCTCTGGGTTTCAAATGCTGAGCACAGCCTGGCTTTTATCTCCTGCTTGAGCACCAAGTGTGACTCTCCAGCATCTCCAGCTTCCTCTCCCTGAGGCAGAGGGGATGTCAGGGCTTCCTGGACATCTGGCAGACCCCAGAGATGGCCTGGACTTTCCTGTGGGTTCCCACAATTCCCCACCATCTCCCAGATGGTTGGGATCAATATCCAAGAGGGACTGTCCATAATATCCATGGACCTGCCAAGCTGTCTGCCTGGGGGCAGGTGGATGTACTTGACCCACCTGCCTGAGTTGGGGACGGGCCCTTCCAACCCCCAGGAAATGAGTGTGCTGATCCTCCTGGGGGACTGAGACTCACTGTTCCTATGATATCAGCAAGCAGTGACTGCAAGAGCAATAGCAGAGCAGGGCCCTTCCCACAACCCCAAGGCTGGTGTCTCAGGGCCACCCACACCCTCAATCACCTACCTGCCTGCCTCGGGCCTGATTGCCCCTGCTACCTGCCCTGACTGTTTACAGCAATGCAATGCGTTTTTTTTTTTTGTTTTGTTTTTTTTTTGTTTGTTTGTTTGTTTGTTTGTTTGGTTTTTCGAGACAGGGTTTCTCTGTGTAGCTTTGCGCCTCTCCTGGAACTCACTTGGTAGCCCAGGCTGGCCTCGAACTCACAGAGATCCGCCTGGCTCTGCCTCCCGAGTGCTGGGATTAAAGGCGTGCGCCACGTTTTTGTTTTTTTTTTTCTTTAGAGAAGGATGTTCAGAAAAACAGAATGCACAGGGCTGGCAAGATGGCTCAGTCATAAACTAGAGATGCTTGCGGGAAAGCCTCGTGATGCCTTGAGTTGTATCTGTGTAGACTCACAGGGCGGAAGGAGAGAACCGACTCCCTTACGCTGTGCTCTGACCTCCACATGTGCCCCACGGCACACGTGCACTCAACATAAACACGCACAAATAATCAAACAAACTTCAATAACAGTAACTATAAAAACGGATGAAATAAGATAAAAAACTACGATATTAAAAATTCCATCAGCAGGGACTAACAAAACAACTCAGCAGGTAAGCTGCTTGCTATGAAAGCGTGAATCAGGGCTATGCGGTGAGTTCCAGGCCAGCCTGAGCTCCATAGCGAGACCCTGTCTATAAATAAACTAATAATTAGTTACTTGCCAATATCCACATCTCTTCATGAAACCAATTGTATTATAAAGCCCCTGAAATATGAAGCTTGTATCCCAGACGAGACGGTTACTCTCCTGTACTTGGTCTTGCCTCCCACACGGGAGGGGTCGTCTCAGCTGTGCACCGGCAGGCTCAGGGACGCCTGTCCTGGGACACTGCAGCAGCAGGGGTCTGGCCCACAGTTTGGGCCTTGCCACTCCTCTTCTAGTGTGACCTGCAGGGTCCAGGATCCTCCCTCTGGCCCCAAGATTGGTGAGTCTCCTGGGCCTTTCACTGGGCTACACACAGTTCAAGCAGAGTTTTTACCTGTGTATGCAGAATGCTGAGAAGTTTGGCAGCCTCGGTACGAAAGGTACAGGCACATCTGGCTTCCTGCTCGACCAGTCTTAATGTCTGGCTTTTGTCCTCGTAGTACTACACCTCTATCACATCCACATTCTAATCAGAAATAAAAAGAATAAGGTGAAGGTTATTTTCCATGAAATTTTGCCTTTAGATTCAGGAAGGAAATTCTTCTGCCTTTATTCCATTGCCCAGAGCTGGGGCACCCTAGCTGCAAGGGATGCCTAACTGAAACTTCAGTTTTTCTGGATTCTATAGTAGAAGTTCAGACAAGAGGCTTGGTCTGGAAAGGCTCCACAGTGAGTTCATGGTGGTAGCCTTCCTTGTCCATCTTCAAATTTCCTGTGCACCCCTGACTGTCTGGGACCCACTCATCTTCCTCTGCCCACAGTGTGCAGTTGAGTGGGACTCCAGGCTCTCCTGTGTCACCAGGACCCCCAGAACTCTGTCTTCTTTCCAGAGCTGACTCCCCAGTTAACAGTCCCAGAGACATCCCCTGCCTGCTGTTGGATGTCTGCAAAGGGAAACCATTGTTTTTCCAGTGTGGGGTGTACAATGCCAGACCCCCAGAGGCACGAGGACTCTAAGAACAGTGGATAAGGTCTAACGGTCTGTGTGTGCATGGGAGGACAGCTAGACTCTGACTCACTGTTCTTAGGGCATGCAAAGTCCAGAAGTTCAAGGCCATTCTCAGCTACAATTGGGTTCCAGGCCAGCCTGGACCAGATGAGACCCTGTCTTAAAAAAATTAAGAGGGGCTGGAGAGATGGATCAGCGGTTAAGAGCACTGGCTGCTCTTCCAGAGGACCCAGTTCCATTCCAGCACCATTCCCAACACTGCAGTTCACAACCATCTGTAACTCCGGTTCCCGGGAATGTGGCGCTCTTTTGGGCCTCTGCAGCATTAAGTACACACGTGGTGCATTGACATACACATGGGCAAAACACCCATACATATAAAGTCAAATAATGAAAAAAGAAAAGAAGAGAAGGAGGAAAAGGAGAGGAAAGGAATGGAGGAAGAAAGGAAGGTGGAGACTCACTGAAGTGATCAGAGTTTTCCTTCATTCAGCCTGGCTACCCAGTCCCCAGAGTGTCTGCATCTGTGGCAGACGGGTGACGGAGCATGTTGCCTTACAAAATACCCTGCTTTGTGGTCTTGAGAATGTCCCTTTCCTCCCTCCCTGCATTCTCGGGTTCCTGTTTCTGGAGGCTCCCACTGGACAGAGCAGGGTCACTGGCCCCAGTCTCAATCACTTGAGGGTAAAAGCAGCCCATTCTGAATTTAAGATTACTTCAAGACTCAGTGACCAGGGCCTAGAGAGATGGCCCCTAGGTAAAGTGTTTGGTGTGCCAGCATGAGTGCTTGAGTTCAGAGCCCAGCATGTATATAAAGAACTAGGCACAGCAGCTCACGCCACCTGCAACTCCAGCTCTAGGAGATCCAGCGCCCTCTTCTGGCATCCTTGGGTACACACATATCTCACACACACACACACACACACACACACACACACACACACACACACACACAATAAGTAAACAAAAAAAAATTTAAAAAATAATAATAAGCTGGGTTGTAGTGGCAAATGCCTTTAAGCCCAGCACTTGGGATGCAGAGGCAGGTGGCTCTCTGAGTTCAAAGCCAGCCTGGTCTACAGAATGAGTTCGAGGATAGCCAGGGCTACACAGAGAAACCCAGACTCAAAAACAAAAACAAACAAACAACAACAACAAAAACCAACCAACCAAATTAATAATAATAATAATAAAATTAAAATAAGGTAGACAGCTTCTGAAGAATGACATTGAGACTAAACTCTGGCCTCCAACATGCACACACAAACAGGACATCTATTCACAAATAAAATTAAAAATAAGTAAAAAGACTCCCCAGGATCTGAGCTACTATACCAGAAATGTGGCTCTCATAGATCCTCATTGGAATCTGAGTATCTATGTGGCTTTGAACGTGCATGGGCTCCATCTCTAACACACACAACAAAATCAAGTTTCTGGGACATCGCTACTTTGGGGGTAAAATGAGTCAGTTGGAGTCTGACTCTTCCCAGATAGGTGAGTTTGGGTAAGTGGCTCTGCTTTCAGAGCCTCGGCTTCCCCTTCTATAAAATGGTGTGAAATGGGCATGACTCAGAGTTGTCCTATAGGACTATAGGGACGGGCTTTGGTGGGTGCTGAGGGGGTCCCTGCCATCTGTCTGTTGCTACTCCAGTGTGGGTGATGCTAGAAGGTCATGGGTGTGTGCACCCAGAGGTCACCCAGGCAGCTGTGCCTGCTTCTCTTCTGAGCGGGTTCTTTAAGGCTGTGCCTCTGAGTCCAGCCAGTGTCACTCCTGGTGAGATGGGAGTGGCCCCCTGGGCAGGGGAGCCCCCTCCACCTGGCACCCAGTGGCATGTTATCCAGGGCATCAGCAGAGTCTGGAAGAGGCTGATGGTGGATGTGGGGAGGACATCACTGATGTAGTATCTGGGAGCTGGGGAGGTGGTGTCTCCATTTGCCACCCCATCAGCCCTGCCTCTCCAGGGAAGGTCAAAGCTCTCACTTGTCATCCGTGAGACACATCTTGTGCAAGCTCCTGGCTTCCAGACTGACCAGAAGAGAGCTGGCCTGTCTCCTAGCAGCCAGGAATGCCTATTGTAGAGACTAGCAGGAGAGCTCAGCCACCTCCTACACCACCACCACCACCACCACCACCACCACACACCAGTCACAGAATCTCAGCTGAGAGGAGAGAGGGTGGGGTAGTTCAGAGTCCCTGGGTGGGAGCAGTCAGTGGGGTGGGGAGGGAGGCTTGGGCTGTTGCTGCACTGCAGCTGCCTGGACTTGGCTCTCCAAGGTATCCAAGCGACCATGAGCTCAGAGCCTCTCCCAGCTCCGCTCTTGCCCTCCTTTCCTCCTGCCTTCCCTCTCCTAACCCTCAACTCTGCAGCTCTCCTGGGGTTGGAGTATAGATAAAGCCCTACCAGGACTTGTGTGTGAGTGTGCACGCAGGTGTGCATACCTGCAGGGTGCCTTGTGTACATGTGTGCATGTGTTCTGTGTGTGCACACCTGCATGCATGTGGGCTGGTGTGCATGCATGCATGGTGCTTATGTGTGCAAATGTGCATGTGTCCTGTGTGTGCACAGGCAGATGGGCCAGTGTGCGTGCATGCGTGCATGCATGCATGCACGATGCCTTGTGTGCACGCGTGCATGCCTTTTCTGTGCACACGAGCCTCGTGCCTGTGCGCCCGTGTGCATCCGTGCAGGTATGTGCATGCATGCGCCCGTGTGAGTGAGTGAGTGCCGGCGGGCGCGCGTGCAGGCCGAGCAGGGATTTGAAGCGGCGTGAGTGCCGCTGATAAACAGCCCGGAGCGGCGCGCTGGCGGCTGCTATCGGAGCTGCTGGCAGGCGCGCAAGAAGCTGTCCCGGCCGCCAGCGCTATCAGCCCACGGAGGGAGGGCGGCGGGCGGGCGGGAGGGAGGGAAAGTGTTTGCTTCAGCCCTTAATCACGGAATTTGAAATCCCAGCGAGTCGGTGCCATTTATTTTCAGAGCCTGTCAAGGCTGGTTTCGGCGGCGTTTAGAAGAAAGGAGGCTGAGCGCATTTACATCTCCAGCTCCCACCGCCCGCCGGGACCGGTGGGGAGAGGCCAGCGGTCTGCACAGGGACTGCCCCGCCACGGCAAGGGCTCTGGGTGGCAGCTGGGGCTGCTGGGTGCAGAGGGGTGGTGTCTTGAGGCACCACATTTCACCCCAGAAAGCAACCATAGCCCCTAAATTTGCCCCAGTTCCGGGAAACTCCTGCCAACCTCTCCCCACTCAAGTCTAAAATGGACTGAGGGAACGGCGGGACAAGGCCCTTCCTGAGCAGATGGGGACACTGAGCCCCGAAACTGAGTTCTGGAGATTTGCAAGGTCAAGGTCACACAATGGCTGACTGAGACCAGGAGGGAGGCTGGGAGTATCTGGAGCGCATAGCAACTCAGGGAGTGGAGAAGGAGCGGTCAGACCCAAGGCTCTCCAGCTCAGTGACCCCCCCCCCCCCCCGTCTTACCCACACCCCCCTCCCTCTTACCCACACCCCTGGCCCTTCTCTGACCTTCACAGGGCAGGTTAGGCACCTTCCGGGGGGCGGGGGAGCGAGTGTGGCAGGGCTGGGTGTCTAGGCCTGTGCTGCCTGGGGATGTCAACTCTGTTCCTATCCAGCCCCACTCTTTTTCCCTCTGCCTCCAGTCTCCGTGGCTTCTTGGGGCTTCTGTCTCCAAGGAGGCCTTGCAGCTGAGACACGGAACCCTAGGAAAAGATGGCGGCATCTACTCCCCAAAGGCCCTGGTGAGATGAGGATTTCGTGGGACCTCCAGTGTTCAGGCAAGCACAGTCCCTAGCAGAGCAGAACATCCAAAATGCCCCTCTTTCTTCACTGATGTGGTCCTGTGTCCCTGGTCCTGTTCCTCCTTCCCAGGCAGGAAGTCTCTCTCAGGGGCTTCTCAGTCCTAACTGAGTCACATCCAAGCACTTGGAAGGGTTGCCTGCTGGGGGAGATGGGAAAACAGTAGAGACAAGGAAAAGCAAGTGTGGTTGGAATTTTCCATCCATTCGGAACACTTAAAAAGCCTTATTTAGCCGGGCGGTGGTGGCGCAAGCCTTTAATCCCAGCACTCGGGAGGCAGAGGCAGGCGATCTCTGTGAGTTCGAGGCCAGCCTGGGCTACCAAGTGAGTTCCAGGAAAGGCGCAAAGCTACACAGAGAAACCCTGTCTTGAAAAACAAAAACAAAAAAAAAGCCTTATTTATATAAAAATTAGCCAATACTATATATTATTTGGCAATTTATTACACCTCATTTTTCTTCGTAGTTACTAATACTCCATTGGTCACACATTATCTGCGTATAGTACCTGATCCCCAATAGATGGGGACACATATAGATTGTGTCCAAACTTGTCCTCTAACCCCCAAGCCTCTGAAAACAAGCTGCTTTCACATAGGAGGGGTCTTTGGAGCCATCAACGACCCCTGCAGGAACAAGGGAGGGGAGGGGGCAAGCAGCTCTGGGAAGCTTCATCTCCTTTCATAGGCAAGAGGCAGGCTAGGCTTTTTCTAGAGCCAGACCCAATGAGAGAAATGGCCTCAGGAGAGCCAGCATAGCAGGGACTGGAAGTCCACCGTGGTAAGGAAGGCCCTCAGATCCCAGGGACCCAGGGGCAGGCAGAGCTGCCCATGGCAGAGCTGCCCATGGCAGTGCACACAGTCTGGAAAGGGTCGAGCATGGTTGAGAACAGGGTGTAGTGAGGGTCCTTCAGGCACCCTCCCTCCCCTTCCCCATGAACTTGGGGCCACCTCAGTCCACGTGGGAGCTTGGGCCCACGGAGGAGGAGGGCAGGAAGCCCCAAGCTCTAAGTTTGTCGCCTGACTCGGTAGCCGGCTCCTTGTAGCTTCAGTTTGCCAGCCTGCAAATATGAATGTTGGCAGCAACTTCCTCACCAGGCAGGGGTTCTGAGGACTCACAAGGAGTCCATGCAAAGACCACAGCCCATTGCAAAGTCCCAGGGAGCCATACTGTCACCTCCTCAGTACAGAGACTGTGGTGTATGTGTTTTTCTCTGTATGCCAGTGTGGACATCTGTATGTTCTTGCATGTCACATCTGCATATACATTCATGTGCACCTGTGCACATATATAAATGTATGTGCATGTACACATGTGTATGCCTATCTCTCTATTTGAGTGCAGCATCCCAAACCACCTGTATTAGTTGCTTATCTGTTGCTGTGATAAAATGCCATGATCAAAGGCAGATTAAGTAAGAGTTTGTTTTAGCTTCTGGTTCCAAAGAGCTAGATGACCACAATGTCTAGGAGCAGGAAATGGAGAGATCACATCTCAGCTTCACATAGGAAGCATTGAGGGAGAACTTGGGGAAGGTAGACTGCAAATTCTCAAGCCCCATCCCCAGTGATGTATTCCTCAAGCAAGGTTCCACTTCCTAAAGTTCCCCAAACAGGGTCATCAACCAGAAACCAAGTGTTCAAACACATGAGGCTACAAGGGACATTTCTCATTCAAACTACCACACCACTCTGTGTGTCTGTCCTCTGTCCACTGAAGGATGTTGTCACTTCTCAGTACACCTTTCAATACACCTTTCTAACCTCTCTGGGCCTCAGTTACCTCATCTGTAAGATGAAAATGACAAAGAGTTGTGATATTAAACATATTAGGCAAACACTCACATACACACACAACAAAACAAAAGAACAAACTCAGGAGTAACTGGTATGTGCTCATGCAACTTGTATGAAATGAAACACAAGCAGAGGTAGCTACATGCCAGCGCATGGTGGAGGCTTTAAAAGCTCAGCACAGTTTGACTTGAAACATACTGGGTCTTTTCTCTGAGGGATATACTCTGTGAGTTCTGCCCTCAGTCTAGATTCCTGAATAGAAACTGTGTGTGTGTGTGTGTGTGTGTGTGTGTGTGTGTGTGTGTGTGTGTGTGGCAGAGTGATAGGCAAGGGTAGCCAAAGTGCAACCAATGCTAAACCTGAGTACAATCAAACTTTGATCATGGGAACCTACTGTTAGTCAGGTGGTGTTTGTTATGAAGCATAACCTAGCAAAAGTTTACCATCACAGAAAATGGTACTTAGAAGTAGTAGGCCACCAAAGCAAATGTGTGGCATGGGCTCTAGGAGACAGACAATAGATAACAAGGAGACACTTACTGAAGGCAATAAAGTTGATAGTCTGTGTTACACAGCAAGAAATACTCAATAAAACTCCTGGCTATGAGAATTTCAAAGCTGTAGAGATATGGCTCAGTGATTAAAAGCACTGGCTGCTCTTCCAGAGAATCCAGGTTCAATTCCCAGAACCACATGGCAGCTCACACCTGTCTGTAACTACAGTTCCAGGGCTTCTGACATCCTCACAGACATTCATGCAGGCAAAACACCAATGAACATAGAATAAAAATAAATTATAAACACACACACACACACAAACAAAAGCAAATAAGGAAACAAAACCTGTGCATGGGAGGTGGGGGCAGGAAGATCAGAAGTTCAAGGCTGCCTCTGGCTAAATAATTCAAGACTAGCTAGCCTAGGCTGAATGAAATCCTTTCTCTCAAACAAAACAGGGCTGAGGGTGCATCTCAGTTGGTAAAGTGCTTATCTAGCATCCACAAAGCCCTGGGTTCAGTTCCCAGTGCCACATAGACCAGGTTGGTGGATGACACTGTGATCTCAACACTTGAGAGATAGAGGCAGGTAAAGCCACCCAAGACAATCAACAAATTCCCAGCTACATGAGACAGTGTCTCAGAAGGAAGGGAGGGAGGGAGAAGGGAGGGACCGCAAAGCTGATGGTCTTCTGTGGCTTTAGCTGAAGAGATTGAGGTAATGAAATAGCTGACACACCTGATCACTTTTTATCTCATGTTTCGTTATCTGGGATTCAATCCATAGAATGCGTACACTGATGCCCTTAGCCCCGCCATGTCACTGAATGACTGAATGTGGAGGCAGTGTAGCCTTTTATGACCACAGTGAGCTCATGTACCAGGCTCTTATATGATCCTTAGAAGAGAAACTGGGACACAGGGAAAGCTGTGGACAGCGGTCTTCGCAGTCTACAAGCCAAGGGGCAGGGTCCAGGCAGACCTTTCCTCCTGAGAGGGACACTGATCTGCTGATCCTTGATCTTAACTTCCCAGATCTGGGAAATAAGTGTCTCTGTGGAACTGTGGTGTGTGGGGCTGACTGGTGTTTAGCAGTCACCCAAGGGGCAGGCTGTGTCTCGGAGGGCCCTGGGAGGAGAGAGGGCATATGGCTTCTGAGGAGGTAGCCTGCTTGCAAGCCAAGAGGAGATGCAGAAATTCTACATTTTCAGAGTTGAAAGTGCATCTGGTGCTTATATCTGCCCAGTGAAAGAGGATCAGGGATGCAGTTCCGTGGGTGTAGCACTTGCTAGCATGCATGAAGTCCTGAGTTCCATCCTCAGAGCTGTGTAAACAGGACATGGTAAGTGCCTGTAATCCAGCACTGGGAGAGTAGAGGTAGAAGGACTCAGGAGTTCAAGTTCATCCTCAGCTACACAGTGTGTTCAAGATCAGCCTGCACTAAGTGGAGATCCCAGCAGCCAGTGTCTAGAGGCCCAAGTCCATGGTGCATTCAGAGACAACCCCAAGAGCATGATGACCTGGTGCCAACCTCCAGCTGGGAGCAGCTGGGGCAGGTCCCATCCTGCCAGTCCTACAGCTCACCTGCTCCCACCAGAGTGAGAAGCCAGGGCCAGGCCTGGAGTTTGGCCATTTTCTGAAAGCAGACGGACAGACACAGTCCTGGCCCCTCTGGCAGTGAACTGCGTCTACAAAATCCAAGTGACAAATGACATTTTAGTAAGACTCCTGACATATCTGTGCTTGGAACACATGACACGATCTTGGAGCAGATAGGAGTTTTAATTTTAACTTCATCTGTGTCCCCAGAAATGCATTGTTGGAGAAGCCCAATCGTGAATTTTAAACTATCTGTAGAGGCTTTTCAAAGCCGTCCATAAAGCCAGTCAATAAAGAACATTCTAGACCAGAGAAACAACAGGACAAAGACATGCTCAGTGTGAGTTCGGTCAGCACTCTCTCTGGGGTAGAGGTCCTGCCTGGTGTGGTCATCACACTCTTTGTTGAGGTTGATGTGTCCAGGTGTCACCTGCCTGTCATCCCAGGCTTCGGCAAGAGGATCCCACTCGGGGGTAGCCTGGGCTAAATAGTGAGACTTAGACAATGAAGCCACCAGGGATTGGAATGGAGCTCAGAAGTACAGCACCTTCCTGCCCTGAGTTCCTCTCCAGCACTGCAATAAACAAACAAATAATCAGTACACAAATAAGTGATGAAATAATATTATCAATGAAACAGGAAGACAAAGCCCTGAGGGGCTCAGAGCCTCCCAGATCAAATCTGGAGGGATAATTCCTGAAACACTTGGCGGCGGGACGGGGTGTGTGTGTGAGAAGAAGCTAACAGGTTGCTCAGCACTTGGGAGGCAGAGGCAGGTGGATCTCTGTGAGTTCAAGTCCAGCCTGGTCTGCAGAGAGAGAGAGAGAGTGAGTTCCAGGACAGCCAGAGCTACATAATAAAACCTTGTCTTAAAATAAAAGTGTTCAAGGTTATCCTCAGCTAGATATGGAGTTGGACTCATAAAGGGGCAATATTTCCTGTTTTAGTGGGGAACTTAGAGGGGGGCATTAATTTCCTTCCACATTTATTGCTGGCCCAGTGTGATTGGACAGCCATGGCCGCCAGAAATAATACCACAGACTGAATGCTTAGACCATCTCTTCCGGTTCCAGAGGCTGGAAGAGCAGGATCAAGGTGTCACCAAAGTGAGGTTCTGTGTTTTTGTTTTTTGAGAAAACGTCTCACTAAATAGCCTTGGTTTCCTGGAACTCACTGTGTAGATCAGGCTAGCCTCAAACTCACAGAGATCCGACTCTGTGCAGGGATTAAAGGCATGCCTACCACACCCAGCAGGTGGATTCCCTTTAAGATCTTCTTTCCTTCCTTCCTTCCTTCCTTCCTTCCTTCCTTCCTTCCTTCCTTCCCTTCTTCTTCCTCCTCGTCCCCACCCCCCTGTTTATTTATTTTTAGGTGTATGAGTGCTTGCCTGCATGTATATCTGTGTGCCATCAGCATGCCTGGTACCCTAAGAGGCCAGAGGAGAACACTGGATCCCTTGGAACTGGAGTTACCCACAGTTGTGAGCCTCCATGTGCATGCTGGGAACTGACTCTAAGTCCTCTGCAAGAGCAGAAAATGGGATTGGGGATTTAGCTTAGTGGTAGAATGTTTGCCTAGCAAACTCAATGCCCTGGGTTTGGTCCTCTGCTACAGGAACAAAGGAAAGAAGGAAGGAGGGAGGGAAGAAAGGAAGAAAAGGAAGGAAGGAAGGAAGGAAGGAAGGAAGGAAGGAAGGAAGGAAGGAAGGGAGGGAGGGAAATAGGGAGGGAAGGAAGGAAGGGAAGGAAGGAGGGAGGGAAGGAGGGAGGGAAAGAGGGAGGGAGGAAGAAAATTATCAGCCAGTACTCTTAACCACAGAGCCATCTCTCCAGCTCCTCTCCTTTTGTTCCATGGGACAGGGTCTCATGTAGCCCAGACTGGCTGCAAACTAACTATGCAGCCAAGGCTGACCCTCAATTCCTGATCCTCCTTCCTCAACTTCCAGCCTCCAAGTGGGATGGTGGGCATGAACCATCATGCCAAGCTGTCAGGGTAGGTCTCTTCTGAGGCCTCTTAGGTAGTCTGAGGCTGAGGTCTTCCACTCCACACCTTATTTTTTTGAGGCAAGGTCTCTCCTTGAACCTGGAGCTCACCAATTTGGCTAGACTGGCTGGCCCTTGAGCTCTGGGAATCCTCCTGACTCCACCCACCTTCTGGGGTTACAGGTGTGCACCAGGACAGCTTGTTTCTTATGTGGGAACTGGAAATCTGAACTCAGGTCTTCAAGCTTGCCCAGTAAGTACTCTACCAACTAAGCCCTCCTGGTCCTTCCTCTTTTTATAAGCACATCCTAGATTCGGGTCCAGCTCAGCATCTTGGTTTTAACTCACCTTGTCAAAAGTCTCATCTCCCACCAGGCTACAGGCCGAGGTGCTGATGGGTGGGCGGGCCCCAGTGCCTCGCCCCGGCAAGCTGAGACCACAAACCTCCCTGCCCCCATGTTCATGTCTCTCTCTCATCAAGACAAGTGTCACTAGGGTCATTTGCTGGGTGTTGTTTACTGAGTGGCTGGGTTGCTGGTCCCCACAGGCGTACTTCATGCATCTGGCCCTTTCGTGTCTCATCTCTGGCATCTGTCTTGTTCCAAGCGACTCTCCTGGCTTGCACACAGGTGACACGTTTCTAGAAGTGGCTGGCTCCGAGGGGAAAAACACTCTGAGCTGTGGAGATGCCCATGGCACAGCTCCTGCCGCATCCTCTGTTCAGAACCAGCTCCAGGCCAGCTCAGATCAAACGAGGAGGAGCCCCGTGTCTGGATACGGGGATGACAAAGAGTCTGTGGCCATCTTTAACCCACCATGAGAGAGGTGTTGCTATTGGCAACCAAGATGGCAGATGGCAAGTAGGTTGGTCATTGTCCCTTTCTGCTGTGATGAGACTTATCCAGGCCTGTCCTGTCTCCATGGGGCGGGCTGAGTTCCCCCTGCCTCACCCAGACACCCCGACACCAGCCATAGCCTGTGATGTGCTTTAGCCAATGAAGCTACGCTGGAGACAGCAGGCTGCCGCGCAGCTTCAGGAGCCTGCATGTGGGGAGGGCAGTCCAGGCAGTCCACTCTGCTTTTGCTTTGCCAAGAACAGCACGTTCCAGAGACACACCCTCTGTTCCCTGGAACTCACACCCAGGAGGCACAGCATCTAAGCCTCGTCATGGGTATTTGTACACCCTCACTCCATTCTCTAGCTTCCACAGGCCTTCAGCCCGTTCCATTGTTCTGCAAGAAACACCTGGCAAGTTAGGTGTTGTCCATTCTTCCTTATGGTCGGGGGGCCTTGGGGGATCCCCATAAGCCCCTGTTGGGCGCAGGCATCAAGCTTGCCTAGTGCAAGTCAGGGAGCGGCTGTCTACAGCTGGGCAGGTTGTCTATAAAATTCCTGACATCTGGGAGCATTGTGGCTCGGAGGGGCTAAGTAACTTGCCCAAGGCCCACTCCAGTAGTAAGTGGGAGAGTCAGGACTTGAACCCAAGAATGCCATGTGCCCAAACCCTTAACCACTGGGCTCCCACGTCCCTGACCCCACCAGTGGGTGGCAGGTATTCGTAAGCTGACACATGACGTGTCCCATGAGCCTTCGGAAAGCCACCAAGGTCTGGGTGTAGTCCCAGAGGCCCCGGTCTCTGGATGCACTAATGTCATAGAAACTGAAGGGACAGGAGAACATAGCATCTGGAACTCACCCCATCCTGTCCCTGTCTCCCCAGCCCTTAGAGGAAAAGTGGATGGGTCGGACTGGAGGTATGCTCAGTAGGTGAGATACTCCTTGTGTAGGTCTGAAGAGTTGAGTTCAGATCCCCGGCAGGCAGGTGTAGTGTAGCAGGGCACTGTAACCTCAGCACTGGGAGACAGAGGAAGTGTAGCAGGGCACTGTAACCCCAGCACTGGGAGACAGAGGAAGTGTAGCAGGGCACTGTAACCCCAGCACTGGGAGACAGAGGAAGTGTAGCAGGGTACTGTAACCCCAGCACTGGGAGACAGAGGAAGTGTAGCAGGGTACTGTAACCCCAGCACTGGGAGACAGAGGAAGTGTAGCAGGGTACTGTAACCCCAGCACTGGGAGACAGAGGAAGTGTAGCAGGGCACTGTAACCCCAGCACTGGGAGACAGAGGAAGTGTAGCAGCACGCCTCACTGTAATCCCAGCACTAGAAAGAGGAAGTGTAGCGGGGCATTGTAACCCCATCACTGGGAGACAGAGGCTAGAGAGGAGGATTTTTGTGGCCAACTGACCATGCAGTCCACCCAAGACCCAGGTTTAGTGAGAGATTGTGTCTCAAAAAATAAGGTGGTGAGGCTGGAAAGCGGTTAAGAACGTTTGCTATTCTTGAAGAGGGCCTGGGTTTGGTTCCCAGCACATGGCTGCACAACCATCCCTAACTCCAGTTCCAGGGGATCTGACACTTCTGATGCTGTTCTGACCTTTGTAGGTGCTGTACACATGTGGTGCTCAGACATACATTCAGATGAAACACTCATTCACACACATCACATTTTTTTGTTTTAAATAAATAAATATTTATCTCATTTTTTTTTAATGCTGAATGCTGTTTATTGAAGGAGGGAGGAGGTCTTAAATACAGGCTTACAGCACAATGGGAGAACCCCGGAGGGCAGAAGTTCACTACAGATGTTTTACAATCTTGCATCTAAGCTGTTAACGCCCATTATGCAGGATACACAGACAAGGAACTTCCCTTAAGCATTCAGGAGTGTGGAACCCGGCAGGGAATTAGCATAGGGAGGATATCAAGGTCAAGGTCAGCAAGCAAGGTAACAGTTACCCAAAACGGGGGCCAGGACCCTCATACACATCACGTTTTTAAAGGTAAATATTTAATAAAATTTGGCAAGAGGAAGATCCTCCACTATCAGCCTCTGATCTCCACACACACAAGCACTCACATGTGCACCCACATTGACACACACATGAGAAGACAATCATGCACACACGTACCCATCTAAACACACACATGTACATATACAGAAGATGGCTGCACCTGGCCACTTCCTTCAGAATCTTTCATAAATGTGTCATTTCATCCAGGAGGGGGAGGAGGGCAGAAGAGCTATTATTCTTCCCATTTTGCTAGTGGGGAAACTGAGGCACCAAATAAGCAAAGTCCATGTCTCTAGAACATGGTTTCTGGCTGGGGACTCAGTGGCAGTGGGCTTCCCAGCATACAGGAGATTCTGGGTTCCACCCTTGGCACAATAAATAGTAAATAAATAAATGGCATTTCCTGATTTCCAGGAGTGCGATGTAGGGGGAAGGTCATACGGTTTGAGACACGGTCTCTGGTAGTCTACACTGGGCTGGAACTCACTATACAGTGTGCCTCACACCCAGCTTCAGCGCTGTGTAACAGTCACAACTGCAGGTAGGCAGAGACACGTTTGTGCACTAGCTTCTAAGTGTGACATTTCCATCCCTACACCAATCCTGTCCCATCAACAAAGCAGTTCACAGAGCATCACCAGTCCCTGCCCCGGGGATTTGGGATGCCCACCCCTTACTGTGGCATGCACACTGTAAGGACGGCTCTGAGCTCCGCATTCAGCTGTGGATGGAGGGCCAGGACAGAAGACAACTGGACCCTCCAAAAGTGTCATCCAGGAGATAGAGCACTGAAGTGGTGCGTTGACTCCATGGAGCAGATCTCTACAACACCTACAACACCGCCCAGCACTACAAACAAACACGGAGTGGTGACTCATACCTGTAACCCCAGCACTCTGGAGTGGAGGCAGGAGGATCAGGTTCAATGTCACTCTCTTCTACATAAGAATTTGAGGCCAGACTGAGCTGCATGAGACCATCTGCCCATCCCTCAAAACCCCATGAAAGAACACAGGCCGCCTTGCAGTGGTCATAGGCTCCCTTGATGGAATAAATACACAATGCCTGCTGTTTGCCTGCCTCACCGATCAGCTTGGAAGGGGCCACACGGGCCAAGACGGGATGTGTAGGACCCTACCCAGAGGGCAATGGGGAGCACAGCTGTCAAAGCTGGATTTCAGAAGGACTCCTCCATGTGTGTGGTCTGTGGGGTTTCAGGCCTGTAGGCTTGGGAAGATGTCACTAGACGTCTGGGTCATAATCCCCTGTCCTCCCCCTGGAGTGGGAAGCAGGAGATGGCTTTCTTTTCCTAATCTGTCGGCTACCCCTCTCCATCATGAAGCCAGGCATAGCTCTGGATCTGAAAGAGTCACAGGTAGCTTCTGCATGGACCACTCAAGCCCCCTGACAGTTCTCGGGGTGTCTGACGTGTCCAGCAGATCCAGGCTGCAGCCCCGCAGACACCAAGCCTGGGGTCCCACAGAGGCCAGAGGCAGCTTGCTTCCGTGTTCCTATGCATATGGCACGGCTTGGCCGGCCTTCTGCCCTGTCTGCCCCCCGCCCTTGGGGCAGAGCGCGGGAGCTGTGGCCTCCAACCAGCTCACTCCCGCTGTCCCTTCGCAGAGCCTGCATCGTCTCTGGGGCTGCTGCATCTCTCTGTTCAAGGTCAAGGAACAAGCAGATAAACCCTTTCCTTGGAGCCGGAGGAGAGACAGCTTCCAGCTTCAATCCAATTCTGAGTCAGGGCCAGGGAGTAATTCCTGAGAATGTGAGGACCGGAAGGAGATTCTTGCGGCCATAAAATGAGTGAAATGTTTGGTAGGCAGAAAAAGAAGCCAAGCAGCTGGCTTTGGTTTAGGGCACAAATACCGAATAGAAGTGGCCAGATCTGGGCAGAGAAGGTCTAGGGGTGGGAAGCTAGAATATTCTTGTAGCTGTAGTGATATCCCACCCCACCCCTGCGCCTGACATTAGACAGGTAGTGAGGAGCTTGGGATTGCAACTGGGCTCCTAGGGACACGCCATATGAGGGCCTAAGTGGAGGCAGGGGGTGGAGGGTGAGCAGGGAGTTGGAGACTCTGGAATTTTCTAGGCTTTTGGCCAAGATAACCCAGCAGTTCAGCAGGGACTGGGACTGTGGATTTACTATGGAAAGCCATGAACTTGATGGACCCTTCCTTACAGGAGCCCAGAGATGTCAACCACTGGCCAGCTTGGGAGGGGCCACACAGGCCAAGATAGGATGTGTAGGACCCTACCCAGAAGGCAATGGGGAGCACAGCTATCAAAGTTGGATTTCAGAAGGACTCCTCCATGTGTGTGGTCTGTGGGGGTTCAGGCACAGAGGTTTGGGAAGGGCAGGAGGAAGGTCTGCTACACCATCCGAGTCCAGAGGCAGCAGTGGTGGCCAGACCAAAGCATGATGGAGGCCCCAGGTGCAGATGATGCTGGACATATGTGGCTGTTGGACGATGATGCCCAACTCTCTCTCTCTCTCTCTCTCTCTCTCTCTCTCTCTCTCTCTCTCTCTCTCTCCTTTGAGCCTTAGGTACTATATTTATTGGTCAGGACACCTGCGTGAAGGTACAGCTTTGGCCCCCCCAAAAACCCAAATCCACATACACAAATCAAAGCCTGCACAGGACCTGTGAGGTTCGGGTCTATGTGGGAGCGGGGGAGTCCTGCAAGAGCAGAATGGTACCTATTTGGAGGGTGGGTGTCAGGCAGCTGAAAGGCTGGCCCTTGGCCTTCTGTAGAGTTCCAGGACATCGATTTTAGTCTCTAAGAGTACCCACCCTCTCACACTGACCTGGGTGTCTCCTAGCTTCACTAACTCCCACACTGGGGTGCAATGGCTTTCCTGCTCTGAGAAGTACTCCTCTCAGAGAAGGCTCTCGATGTGTGGGAAGTAGGTGGGTATTTGGATGGTGGGGAGAAGGCTAGGCTCTGTGGGTGAGTGAACAAGGGTTGAGAAGACAATTGGATATGTGGCTAGATGGATGGATATGTGTGGGCAGAACAGCATATGTGTGATCCAGCAGGTAGAAGGGTAGGAGGTAGCCTGGATGGATGAATGAGTGGCTGGGTGAACAGTGGAGGCAGTGGATGGTGTGGGGATGGGCAGATTTTGAAAAGGAAGGGGCAGGGACAGGATGAGCCAAGGCACTGAAAAATTTTGTTGACAGCTAGTAGTCCCTGAGGCAGAAGTAAAGTTGGCTACCCCGTGTTGACCCTCCCTCTGGTTCCTCAGTTTCCCCTGGAGCTCCCCTTCCCTACTTCTGGGGAGTCCTGCTTTGGGCGCCTCACACCAGGACTTCCTTCCCTTTGTGTGGAGCGTAATTCTTCACCCTGGGCTTGGATTGTGGCTGAGAAGTCTGATTATTTGCCAGGACCTGGTGACTGGGACGGAAGTAGGAAGTTTACATGTCCTCCACACATTCCCGCCCCCCCTCACTTCCTTCCTTGCCTTCTGCTGCCTCCTCACTCCTCCGCCTTCCTTCTTCCCCATCCTTCCTCCCTTCCCCTCCCCCTCCTCCTCCTTGGCTCTGTCCTCTTCTCAAAGGAATGGAGCACCCAGATGGGCTGGGCCAGTCTGCAGGTATAGCCTCAGCCAGGACCTGCCCTAGCTCTGCCGCCCTTGGCCCCGGCAGGCCCAGGCAGTCGGATCCCCGCTGCCTGGTGCCCGCCCCTCCCTACAGCTCCGATTTTCAGCTTGGGTTTGATCGGCTGCCAGGATCTCCCAAATGTCAGCAGCAGCGTTCGCGTCTTTAAGAGAGCGCCTGAGGCGATCTTTAAGCAGGGAGGCTGGGGCCGGCGCTGACAAGGGACTCTGCTGACAGCCATGCTCCTGCCTCCCCAGCTTGCAGGGCTGCAGCCCTGCTCTGGGCCTGGACTGATTCTTGAAGCCTGGGGTGAAGCCTGGCTAGGCCAGGAGTTGAGACCCCTGCTGAAAGCCAGGAGGGCAGGGCATTAACAGATCAAAAGCTTTGAGAACTGCCCAAGAGGCAGAGAAGGGCAGTTTCCCATTCCTCGCCTTGAGGGGACATAGTTAGGGTGAGGAGCCATGGGGAAAGCTTCACACTTTGGCCTTGCTGGTGTTCAGATCTGTAGTGAGAGCTGTGTGACTCTGGAAAAGTTGTTGGCCCACGCCGAGCCTCAGCTCTCTCATCAGAGAAGTGGGCTTAGGGGCTGAAACACCAGTATGGAATTACTAGGAAGCACCTTTGTCACAGAGAAACAATCTTATGGTGCATGTGATGGGTACCTCAAGAAACGCCCCGCCTCCGCCTTCTCCTTCCTGCCTGCAGCTTTCTAATATTTCTTATGAAAGACACTACCTCCTTCATTCCCTTCCTGCCCTCAGGACACGGATGATTACCCATCTTCTCGGGTGTCCACTATCTCCCTTCTAGTCAGAGGCAGGAGCCCTGAGGAGAAGGAGAAAGGGGAACCAGAGGCCAGTCCCCACCCAGGGAAGGTGTGCTGGGGAAAGTGTCAGCATGGAAGTCCTGTCCCCCAGATGCAGCCTCTCTGGGACCAGGCAGGACAGAGTGGGAAACTGGGAGGGATAGTGTACACCCAAGGAGGTCACAGGATTGGCATCTGGCTCCCCAAAGCATGTTCTGAAGCAGGAGCCACAGGAAGCAGGCTCAGAATGACTGTGGATAAAATCAGATTGAGTGGATGAAGAGTGGGT